AAAATAGAGGGGGAAATTATAATGCAAACATTTGCAATATCAAACAGAAAATTAAATTTTGTCTAACATTAATAATTAATGATTACATGTTATTATAACTTTTAATATAATTACAAAATATTTATTTTTATTTTTAATAAAATTTATAATTATTGCAAGCAATTGTTATAGTATTAGGGTGGTGTAGTGGGGGGCTTAGCTCCCCACGGGTCTGTGTACTATAAATTATTTCAGCACCCCCTAAATTCACACCCTATGTGCGCCTATGGTTGTAACGCATTATCATTTATCAGCGATAATATGAAGTGGAGCTGTGGATCGTTAGCTCGGTCGATTGCCCCCGCCCCACCCCACTGTCGTAAGTCCGGTAGCCATGTCGTCTCGGCGATTTTAAGTGCAGATGCCGAGGTCGACTGCATAGCGTCGGGGACGGTTTTGTCCTCTTGCACGCGAAAAGTGCAGTTCGACGTTTCAGTGTGTATGAATTATTGAGACAGAAACGAAATTTGTCGTAGGTGCCCGTCGGTCGATGATATTTTCTCTTTTCTGCCATGGTTGTGTAAACGTGAGCGGCTTGTGGTCCATTCATAATATAGTGTCGCACGTGAGGTGCCCTTTGATGTAATTCGGACGAAAGGTCGGGCGCCCTACAAATAAGGTTCTCTGCGTCATCGTACGCGCTGTATCTTATTTGTTCGGCGGGAGATAATTTTTTTGATAAAAAAAAACCTAGCGGCTGCCACTGGTCGCTGACGTTCTGTTCGAGTATACGACTTCGAGCACACAAATTTTTTTTTTTAAACCTCCTTTATAAATAAAAATTATTATCTACATATTAGTTACTATACATCAAGGATTTGCAACTCAAAGTACCTAACTAGCTGGCCATTTTTAAGTACTTTAAAATCTAGCGGGCCGCAGTGCATAGGAGAAAGCAAAAAAAAAAGGTCCTTCAAATTTACTAACATTTATTTTTTATCTTTATTTATTTATATTTACAATTATTATTTAATGTGATACTTGAGGATGAGGTTTTATATATAGTAATTTGAAAATATAGCGTGGGTCAGATAAAAAAGGTACGCGGGCCGCCAGTTTCCCATCCCTCCTATAGATGAATCAAAGTAATTATTTCACAGAGGCAGAACTACAAAATAAAATATGAACACTGTAAAATAATATAGTTGTCACTTTGTCAATGTAAATTCAACCCAATGTAATTAAAATTTTATAATCCAATGGCTTATGTCGCCGACGGTATATTTCGTTTTAATAATAATAAAAAAAAAGTAATTATTAAAATTATTAATTTAATAATATTTGTATTTTAATATATTTATATATAAATATATACATTTATCATTGATTGTATTAATTTTATTTACATACCTAATGTACAATAATTGTTTGTTTTAAAATCGTTGTACAAAATTACCTTTTGAATTAAATCTATGATTAATTTAGAATAGGGATGCCATTTATAAGATAGGAATAAGGGCCTCACATAGTCACATTTTTCATGGCCCCAGCTCCCAGGGACCCACAAAACTTTGCGCGGCATTGGTCCAATTATAATTAATGGCATACATATTAAATACTCAATATTATTATATGCAAGACTATTATTTTAAAATATAGATTTAAAAAAAAATACGATTATTTTAACTGTTATTTCAATTGGTTTAATTAATGTTAAAAGGTCGGTATACCGTTATATAATAAAATCATAAATTATTGACAATAAGTCATGGCCATTAATTTTAATTGAAATTTTAGTAAAAAAAAAAAAAAAAAAAATGAAAAAGTTATTATATTATTATTATTATATATTTAAAGTTTGAATATAGAACGATATGATAAACAACTTTACAATAGTATTATATTATAAATTATAATGTATATTGCGGAATCGATCATTTCAAATTTTGGCGGAAACCGGTACTTACTGCGACCGCGGCTGCTATCGACATTAGCTAAAAACTTGTTTAACAGGTTATTGCACACGTTTAACTTTACAATATGAAAACAACTGGACGATTTGATATCGCTTGACACGTCGCCTTATCAATTATCACTAAACCAATAATAATAATAATTGTAATAGTTGTGATAATTTAACCTTTGGATTGAAGTACGAGATTACGAGTTACGACTACAGGCTGCAGAATACAGAGTATGTCGTACGGGAAGTGGTAATTTACCAATCAGTTTTGAAAGTTCACTTGCCCGTTAATCGTTAGATTTCTATTCCGATGTTCTAAAACATACCTATAATTAAATAACTTTGACCAAAACCGTATATTCTTATTATATATTTTTTATTCGTTCTATTATTTAAATCGTAATCGTGTAGGGAGAAGAACAAATTATATTTAAAATGTCGCGTAAGTATACGAATCTCATAAATATATTTTATTTTTCATAGTCTACTTAAAAATAAGTTTCGATTGATACCAATTGTACCTTCATAATAATTTTTTTCTCTCTTAATATTGATTTTTATCGTCTCTCAATTGTACGGTAACCTATATATTATGTTTTAAATGAAATACTGATTAATTTTCCTTAGCAGGTACCTAGACACTTGTTATTAATGTACAGTTTCCATTGGATGGTCTACTGTCAATATTTAATTTTTATCATAGCTTTGTAAGACATGAGCTAACAACTAATTAATATTCAAGGTTATTGTGTATTAAAATTTAAGTATTTTTAAATTACAAATTTTTTTTTAAGTTTATTATATTAACAATATTATTATTAAGATACATTTTTAAATGGTACAAACATTATATCGGTAAATTTTAACCCAGTCGTGTTGTTCTTAAGATACATTATAATTCATTTTAATGACCTTTGAACCTTTAAAATCAAATAAAAAACTTTGGTTTTTTTCAATCTTGATTGGTTTTATTTTATTGATTGCCACATATTTTTTTTTTTAACACATGCAGAATTTAATTATTATCTAATGTTTTTAATATGCTCATAATAATTTTAGTTTATGTAATTCGTTTAGGTTAGGTAGGTATAATGTAATAAATTCAAATTAATTATCATCTTAATTTTATTTTGTATGTAGGTAGATTTCCAAATATTATTAACTGTATGAATTAAGTTGCGCAAGGTTAATTAATAATATTTTTCTTTGTGTATTTTCAATTTTAGTAAAACTTAAATAATAATTTAGGCATTCATTTTCATTAGTTCAAAAAAAATAACAGGTATTTTTGGTTTTTAGTTATATACAGCCTTTTTCAATTAGTGTAGGCAAATTTATTAAAACTACTTTAACATTTTAAAACTAATTATCAATTAATTAAAGAAATATATATATTATTTTAATATAACTTACCAATTAAATCACTTCTTTACTTAGAAAATTAGCACAGCCAACTCAACAATCAGTATTGTTATTGGTTAGGCGTATATCCTCCATCAATATTGTTGTATGCAGCCTTTCCAGAAATCAATATGATGACGATTTTTTAAAGACAATGTCCAAATTATGAAGAAACGATACTATTTTAAATAAGCAAAGTTATTATAGTTTACAATAATGTATGTTGTATGTGTGTTCATGAGGCTGAGTGGTGTGAAGGTGCTCAAGTCTTAGTGGCTATGGTACATCTGATTATGTTGTAATCCAGGCTTCCTTACATGTGATGTCAGCTCCTATATTCTGGCGGCTTGCATATTTGCAATTGTTGTTATTGTTGTTTTCGTAAAGGTGTATTTAAAGAAGTACCAATTACGATTTATAATATTTGGTGTCCAATCTATTSATTCATTAGTTTTAACTATACTATTTGGAACTATAGATTATACATTGTCAAACGTTAGAGATTCTAGTTGTAGTACATAATATACCTTTTAAGATCTTGTAACCCGTGACAGTATTTTAGTTTTTTTTTTCTTATAAATTGTTAAAAGTAGGTAGTAATTATTAACTAACTAAATGGGATTAATCAAATATGTATTTTCATTTCAATCTATTAAGTTGTTAATTAATAAAACACATGAAATAAAATTAATATCTTAAGCTTTATAACTTTAAGAACCCTAAATATCTACCTATAACACTGGATGTTTAAACTCATAATATATAAAATGTGATGGGGAGTTGGATATATTTTATTCAGCATCATTAGGGTTTGGTAGATGATTCTAGGGTTAGGATTTGTATGTGTTTATATATATATTTACTAGTTTATCATAGTATTGCTAGTTAAATAAGCTCAAAATATGGTTCAAGAAAAGATAATTTAAAATGGGTACAAACTCTTTTAGACCATTTTAAGATGCTATTATTTTATTTATTAGATATTTATTTGGTATAAAGCACTATTTGTAACTTAAATATAAACTCTACGTTATATTATTTAGAATTTAATGCACCTTCCAATTTGGTAGAAGCAAAACAATGAATTAAAAGTACCTTGCTATACTTACTATKGATGGGCATGAAATCCGAATATCTGGAATTATCCAGATTTATGGATTTGCTGTTTATGTGACTTAATACTTTCAATTATTTTTAAAATGAGTCATTGAACAGCAAAATCGAGTTGAATAATCTGAATAATACACGAAATCCTGATTTGACAAATCTGAATAATTCTTCAATAATGTTTTCAAGTTAATAATTATTCTTTTTTTTTTTATTGGATATAATTATTTTTATGATAAACTTAGTTAGTATTATCTTTCATGTTAAAATTAGTTAGGTATTTAGATTTGTATATTTTAAAACATATTTTTTCCAAAACAAGCATTGTCTAAAAAATAGTCGTCAACAAGACCTAATCATTATATGAACATGATATTTTTGTATAAATTGTATTAAGTAATTAATAAATATATTATTTAGAAATTAGATATTGCCCGAAATAATTGACTTCATAAAACATTAATTATTTCTAAATTGATATTATATACTTTAGTTAATTTTACAACTTATTGTTACAGATCCGTTTGAAAAATTTAAGAAAACAATTAATATTGGCAACAAGGAATACTCTTATTTTGATTTACCTAAGTTTGGTGTTGAATATGGTAATATCCCAGTTTTTGATATTATTTTAATATTTTATATGTATCAAATCAAATATTATTTTTTTTTTTAGATAAACTGCCATTTTCAATTAGAGTTCTTTTGGAGTCTGCTGTTAGGAACTGTGATAACTTTCAAGTTACTGAAAATGATGTACAAAATATCTTGAATTGGAAAACTAATCAAAAAGTTGAAGGTGGTGTTGAAGTTGCATTTAAACCTGCTAGAGTCATTTTACAAGTAAACAATTTATTTAAAATTGTATTGTTAAATTTAAAATTTATCAAACAGGAAATATATTTTATAGGATTTTACTGGTGTACCAGCTGTTGTGGATTTTGCCGCGATGAGAGATGCTGTCAAGAGTTTAGGTGGTGATCCCAACAAAATTAACCCTGTGTGTCCTTCTGACTTGGTAATTGATCATTCTATCCAAGCGGATTTTGTCAGAGAGTAATATATATAATTTTATAAGTCATTATATAAGATTCTGTTCAAATTTTATGATTATTTCAGAGCTGATGCACAACAGAAAAATGAAAATCTTGAATTTGAACGAAATAAAGAAAGATTCACCTTTTTGAAGGTACTTTGATAATTTAATATATTAATACTTAAATAATTAACGAATGAACTGTATGTGTATTTTTAGTGGGGAGCTAAAGCTTTTAAGAACATGTTAATTGTACCACCAGGCTCTGGTATTGTACATCAAGTGAACTTAGAATATTTAGCCCGTGTTGTATTCACTGACAGAGACGCATTATACCCAGATTCTTTAGTGGGCACAGATTCTCACACAACAATGATCAATGGTTTAGGAGTTTTAGGGTGGGGTGTTGGAGGTAAACTAATTAAAATAACAAGTTATTATTATGAAGACAGTATATTGAATGTTAATTTTTTTTTTTTTATTAGGCATAGAAGCTGAAGCAGTTATGTTAGGACAAGCTATATCAATGTTGCTTCCTCAAGTTCTTGGTTACCAGTTAACAGGAACTCTAAATCAATTTGCAACATCTACTGATTTGGTTTTAACAATTACTAAGGTAAAATATAAGAGACATAGTTGTATATAATTTCTAAAAAAATTGTAATTATTTACTACTGTTTTAGCACTTGAGACAAATTGGTGTAGTTGGAAAGTTTGTTGAATTTTTTGGACCTGGAGTTACTCAATTATCTATTGCTGATCGAGCGACTATAAGTAACATGTGTCCTGAATATGGTGCAACAGTAGGTTTTTTTCCAGTAGACCAAAATACACTTTCATATCTTCAACAAACAAGTATGTTAATTTTTTTTCTTAAAATTATATCATGATATCATACTTATTTGTGTTTCTCTGTTATACTATATAATATAACTTATAACATACAAAATTGTGTGTTCAGCAGTTCTAATTTTGTGGTTATAAGTTGAGTTTTGTTGTCTTCGTCCACTAATGCATAATACCTATATAAAATTATAGAATAAAAAAATGATGCGTTGTTTTGAGACTTTCAGTATCAGATTGAATTAATTCAACTTATCAAATTAAAAATTTTACTTAAATAATAAGTAATAACTTGTTTGTTTTTTTCAATTTACAGCAAGTAAAATATCAAAAAACCTTATTTAGGGCTATGGATAATATTGTTGCCTATAAAATTGATTATAAGTCAATTAATTCTAATACTAAAATTAATTTATCAAAATGAATTCCCTTCAACTTTAAATTATGTGCTATGTTTTGTTGTGTGTTATTAAGAAGTAATATCTTCTTAAAAATTAAGTAATTTGACCTATTTTAATTTTTAAAACTTAAAAAGTAAGAATATCATTTATATTCTTTTGTTGGTTTCCTTATGATATTTCATTTTTTAGTGAGTGATGAGAATGTAAAATTATGATAATTAAAATGCTCCTTATTTACTTAAAAATAAAATTATTTTCAAACAACAATGATTGAACATAGATAATATCGTTAACTTTAAGTTTGATAATAGATAAATTCACACAAATATTTCACCAAAAAACACAAAATTGTAATTGTTGGATGTAGATTTTTAATTTGGTATGTTTTTTGTTAGAAGGAATTGATATATTACATGTGAAAAGCGTTAA